TTCAGCAGACTTCTCGGTTTTAAGATACGAGAATTCAGGAATTTCTTGACATTTCTTGTCCGTTTCTGTCTCTGTTTTCTCCAGCATCACAGCTTTAGTTCTTGAACTCTTGTGTGAAGCCGCTGATGGCTGCTCAACTGGAGCAGTGCCCACACTCAGAGATTCCTTTAACATTTGTGCTTTTTCAGTGTCTGGTACATCAGCATTTTTTACCTCCTGAAGGTCAATTTGCACTTGGGTTTGCATCTCTTTTGCATTCACTGTTTTGTCTATAACCTCCACTACAGCTTGGAGTGCAAAATCACAGTCTGTGACGATCTCAACAGTGGCGTCGTCCACATGGAACGTCTCTGCAGGTTCCTTTTGCTGGGAAATGAGACTTTCAGGTGAAGTCTCTACTAGAGCAGTGGGTTCTGGTGAAGCCACCACTTCCTCATCAGCTGTCTCCCTTGGTCTTTTCTCCACAGCATCTTCGTTCCTTGTTTGTCCTATTGTTTTAACATCCATGTGGACTGACGTTTCTGCTGATATCTCATCTGCAGCTTTTGTCAACACTTTTTTAAAGACTTTTTCTGCCACTTCTGGAATTTGACATGGCTGCTTGTCTTTACAAATGTTTCTTTGTTCTCCTGTTTGATCCTTCTCAGTCTTTTCTGTTGTCCATAAGTCAACCTCTTGAATGGCAGATAATGGCTCATTAGAGCTACGTGGAGCAGTCTGGTCTCTGATGTGATGATAATCCACCCTATCATCCTTCAGGTCAATAGGTTTTTCCGGAGTTTCTCTAGTGGTGTCCACTGCTCCAATCTTAGTTGTATCCAGTTTTTCTGTCTTATTCTTTTCTTCTTGTTGCTCTTCCTTTTCTCTGAACATCCTTGTCAGACATCCAGTCATTTCAAACCTACTCTGTGACCACAACATTCTCCTCTCCTTCTTGTCATCAACAGACCCCAGTTTAACCTCCTCTGCTGGAGTTTCATCTTTTAAAGTGAACTTCTCCAGGTATCCGTCTGCATCGTCCGAATCTGACAAACGTCTCTTATAGGACTTCTCCGAAGCAACACTTTCTGCTTCCGAGAATTCCTCGTCGCTCCTCACCCTTTGGCCTACAGCATCCTCATAAAGGTCAGAGTACATGAAGGACATGGCGGTGGGCTCCTCTAAAAGAATAGGATCGATAATCTTTGGGGGTCCGGAGGAGAAGTAGATGGGTGTTAAAGTGGTCTCTTCAGACCCAAACAACACAGAGCCACTCTCCTTCACTGAGCTCTCCCTTCTCATCCTCATCCTGGTTCCTCCGTTTGCCTCCTCTTCATTCTTTTTCTGCAGTGCATCAGCAGGAGCTCCTTCTCCGTAGAAGACCTCATCCAGGTGATCACCAACTATGTCCAAGTCAGAAACAAAGACAAAGGATTCCTCTGATGCTGAGGGACTGACTGTGATCTTGTCCTCAGCAGGCTTTTGCTCCTCTGCTTGTGGTTTTACTCCAAGTTTCTGTACCTCCTCCTCCTGGACATCTGTAACCTGTTCTCCTGGAGGTGCAACATCCAAAAGAGTAAACTTCTCAAAATAGTCAATGTCACTGCCCTCTATCTGTGTGGGCGTGTCGACAAGCTCAGTGTGTGCTGAAGGCTGAGAAGAGTCCAGCATTGAGAGCTGTGGAAAGATTACAGTGAGGAACTCAATTCAAATAAAAAAGCATGTTAAATATATCAAATAGCTAAAGAAATTGTTTTGATGGACACACACCTCTTCACCGTCTGCCGTCTCCTCCTCCTTCTCCTCTGTTTGAACATTATTTTGCTGCGTCCGCTTATGATGACTTCGGGACTTGATTTTTGGGGTCTCATTCAAATAGGAAAGATTGTCCTGCAGCTCCGTGCTCTCCTCCTCGTCGACAGTAGGAAGTTTGAAGGGCACTCTGATGTTAAGAATCTCATAACCCTCTGAAATCAAACTGAACAACTGTTGGTCTTTGTTTTTGATTTCCTCTAGGTCTGGCTCTGTTTCCTTTTTCTCCTCTTTTATATTGGGAAGTGAGACTTCTGCCATTTCTGGTCTCTCCACGCCCAAAGCCGAAGCAGATCTTGAGCTTCCGGGTCGACTCTGCCTGTCGCTCAACCTACTGAGTCTTCCTCCAGACCTGGTCCTCCTACGGATCACTTTGTCCTCGTCAAAGATGATGGTGATCTTCCCTGCGGCTCCAGAGCCCTCCATGCTGTAGGTTTCAGAGATGGAGCTAGTTTCAGAGGCCCAGGGAGTGGAGCAGCGGCTGGAGGCAGTCTCCCACACTATACCGCTGTCTTCACTCTGGACAGTGACCATGGAGAATGATGGGTCCACCATCAGGCACTGGAGTTTAGGCTTAACTGACTGGTCTTGGACAGCTTCTCGCAGACTGAAGAGAAGAGGAATAGGATTAGGTTAGAAGAACACAGGTGATTCTCACGTCCTAGAAGAAGAGATGCTTGACTTGAAAAATTGACTGCAGGAAAAGATCATTTTGGAAGAGTTTAAGAAAATACAAGAAGAAAAAAACAGTGAAACAAAGCCAAGCAACATTCGTCCTAAAAACCAAATTTAAATCTTAAACTAAAATCTAATCCACATTTTCAGGAAGTTCACTTAAGTAAATCCCCAGCATCCTGCGCCAGCATGAGTAAGGAGCTAAAAATCAGAGCGTTTAGAAGCACTATGAGCTACTTGTTCATCACAGGGTTACTGAGAGGTGACATCCTGAAGCGTCATTCGTGTAACATTAGAGACTAGAGACCTGACCATCTCCGATTAGACCACTATATCTGTTTTCTTCTACTATTTATGACATGCTAAGGAAGCCAGTAGGGAACATGATAAATTAGATGTAAAATATGGCAGAATGGTGAACACTGACAGTTTCTTGAATGTGCTGGAGAGCAGATGATGACACCCAATATCAAATGACAATCAGTTAATCAACATTTGTCTAATATAGCTCCAGTTGTCAGGTCCAATACTCCAGGCAGAAACGAACTATGGCACAAACCCATGGACGAGTCCTCTCTTAGTGACTCAGTAAACTGTAGCAGGCACAAAGAGACCCGTAGGTTATACCAATAAGTCCAGACCCATCAAGTAGGCACCTGTTTTGGAGTTCCTCCACCTCGTCTTCATCGTCCTGACTGACGGTCTCTGAAAACACCTGTAGTTCATTCACCTCTGGATCCAGACCCTCACATTCCTCCATTCTGATACTGTATCCCCCAATTCTCTACTTTGAAGTTGTCAATTCTTTTTCAATGTTGTCCTGGTGTTTTCAGTCCCTGTGAATTGGAAAGAGCTGCTCTGCCTGTTTGTGTCATTCTAAGTTGGGAGAAGTCCATCTGACTCAGCGAGGGACAGAAATAGAGTGGGGAATGGGGAAAGAGGGGAGTGAAGTCAGAGAGAGGGTAAGTTTCACTGGCTGTTGGACCAATTACTTTAAAATCTAATTCTAGAAAATACAGATTCTCTTTCTGTTTCTGAAGACTGTTCCAGATTGAAGTTCTACCTTTTCATTGATGATGTCTACTACGGTGAAACAGTCCACAGAGGGAATACGTCTTTAAGAAGAAAATCCCCTTCACTGGGTTTAATATAGGTCATGTGCTGAAACAGTAACAGTAACTCCCCCTGCACCCCTGCTAGTGGTAACACTAACCAGGTGCCTGCACATGCTTCGACTCAGAGCTGGCACAGTGTGAGGGTCATAAAAGTAAATGTTATATAAAAACACTTGAGAACACTGATGCACTGCATATACAGTTGGAAAACCTCCAGCGTGACTGCATGCCCACTGTTTTGTTACTAAATACTCCTGCTAACTTAGATAAGCCAATGTTTAATTTTTAGCAACATAAATATGGGTTTGGTATTCAAAGATAAAAAATAGATTTTATTTTATCTATAGCAGAGCTGGATCTCCAGGAAAGCAGGAACACATTAGAAAAATGCCCTTAGCCATAGGGCATTTAAATTTCCTTTTTTTTCAGTGGACAAAATAATTATTTAATATTTATATTCTTTTAAAATGTGTTATGGTCTGAGTCCCAACAATAGTGAGTCCAAGGGTTTGTGCATTGCATACACATACAGCAGCATTTTTCAGCCTTTGACTTCATGCAGAAAGATTTCTTTATTCCCTTAATTAATCCATGTTATTGTAAATGATACACCAAACTAGACTTTAGGAATAGCCCACTTTAGGAAAACTGACTTTAGAAATAGTGTCCTTATATGCACTAATCTGCCTACCAGGTGGTAAAGTGTCCATGGTTGATCTATGCATATTTAATAGAAACAATGAATATATTTTTTAAGTAAAGAGTGAAGCCATGGCTCATCAGCCCATGCACACCAATCAAGTTAAAAATACTAATAATACACACTGAAAACATACTCAAATGTTTATTTTTAAACAAGCACTTAAAAATCAACAACGTAACAGAAAAAGTACAATAAAGCACGAGAAAAAAAAAACATCAAATGAAAATTTACACTCAAGAAGCCAAATCTACCAATGATCAATGTTTTTAAATAAATAATATGGTCAGGTGAAATAAAAGAGGGCAAGGCTGCTGGGAAACCAAAATCCTCATATAATCATTGTGAGAACACAGTTAACATATACAAACAGCTTCAAATTTACAAAATGCTTTCCTGCTCACTAAAGAAAAGAAGAGGTGCTTGTATGACATGAGGCACAGAAGAGAGAGTCAAGGCTGAGAATCTGCTGAGACGGCTGCTGTCATCTCAGCAACACACACCGTACATCTAATGGGCAAATTTCAAGTGTGACTTTACATTATCATTGGTTTTTACACTGCTCTTCATCCTTGCTGCATTTAACCTTTCTAACAACACAGACCACTGTTTTCCTGTTTCAGCGCATCATCTTTCCATACTTTTAATGACAAGCTTTAAAAGTTTATTTCTTGTCTCTGGCCCAGAGATGTTTTGAGGTAGAAGACTCCAGCCAGTTGGTCTCTAGAAGATTTTTTTTATCTCCCACGTGACTCTCTGTTGATGATGGCTCTAAATGGGATGATTGAGCTTAAGTCTCTGGACTTGTGTAGTCTCTGACACGCCTGCAACAGGATTATGAGTAAGTCATTGATGATCTGACTGGCGTTTATACAAAAAGACAACTGGGCAACTTGTGTGTACCTCTGCAAACCGAGCTTTGATGGCGTCAAACTTGACCTTCTCATAGACAGCTCGGGCAACATTGTTTCTTTCAAATGGCTCTGAAACACAGCAGAACAAGTTGCTGTTCACTACAGGCTGTGGTTCAAGGCCAGCCACCACTACCAGCATCATGTGGAGATTCTTACAATATTTTCATTAGTACTGTTCTGTTTCATACGTTGCTGCACTCATCTGGTAGTTCTTTCATAACGTACCAAATTATGAACTAAACGAACATGGCTCACAAATGTAAGACTTTTAAACTTTATGTTTTGTTGAACTTGTTATGATATTTTGAGTATGGTAGGAGATGTAAAGCACAGTCTAACATTTCTTTTCTATTGGCAATAGTATCTTGAACAACCGTGATATAAAACATTAACAATAAAGGGTTTTCCGATTAACTGCTAATAGGAACTGTTATGATCTGGAGACTATGATTATAACCAGTGGTGAGTAAAATGTTTTACCTTCCACACATATGAATTTATTTCTCCACTCCTTTGAGTTACCCTTGGAAAAAGCTGTAGCCTCTCGAACAGAGATCACCTGCTCATTCCACCTGTTAAGATACAGAAAAGGAAAAGAATACAATAAAGTATAGTAATAAAGTAAAGCAAATTGTTTAATTTTTTTTGCTCTATTATTAGATTTATTGAAAAAAAAAATATGGACAAAGATAAATTAGTCCCAGGATACAAGTGTGTTGCATGTTCTTATGGTGAGTTTTACTTCAGGTTTGTGTCTGGACTGTGGCATGGTAACACACATGCTGCTATTACAGTGTTCAATCATGGAATGTCATGTTAGGACTTTGTAAGGCCAAAGGTCACACCTGCTCCTGTCTCTAGACCAGTAATACGAAACCAAAGGGGATGATGCAGGACAGAGGAGGAGGGCAGGCAACAAGAGAAAAGGAATGGGAGGAGGGAAACCAGCAGGGGAAAGACCCCGCAGTTCATCTGAAACATGAAACACGGTATCTCTTTATATCCATGGTGGATACCTGAAGTCTGTGGTGTAGTATTTCAGAAAGCCCAGAAGCAGTTCCCCCAGAGATGACTTGTTTCTGGAGACGTAGGGCTGGATGTGTTTGGGTCCCTCTGGTACCATGTCGATTTCCATGAAAGGATCAAAATACTCCTAAAATTATGAAGCAAATCAAACTCAGTGACAGCATTACAGAGGGAGCATGGAATTACATGTTTAATTCTTTTAACTTGTGTACACATATAGACACATCTTTTTAATTACACTTGAGAGCTTTTACAATTTTTATACAGTATATAGTCAATATTAGTAAGTAAAACATTTTAAGAAGAAACAGTTACGTGTCATTTGTTTTTCATGGCCTTCAAACCAAAATAACATATATTTATATTTATATTTAAATAGTGTAAAACAACATGAATATTCTCACAATGAGTAAAATACATACTTAAACAAATGTTCACTGAATAAAATTATTATATATATATATATATATGTGTGTTTGCAGAAGGTGTTAAAAACATGGAAATTAAGTTTGCATGTAAATTCACTTACTGGATATTCTTTCTGTAGAGATGGAAGGAGCGGTTCCTTAAGAGCTGTGATAAAACAAAACTTGGCTTTACCTACAATTTAAAATGTGAGACTGAAATTGCTTGGAATTATTGTTTGTGAGATTCAACTGACTTTGGAGGTAGTGCAGAACCATGAGTACCAGTGTGTAGCTGCTTAATGTGCCTTTGCTAGCATCATTAATGCAGTGATGTAGTGCCCACTTCTTAATGACAAGTATCAAGGGTCGTATCCTCAGATCAGCTGAGAGGGAAACAACACAAACATGTCTGCTTTAAAGGAACCTTCTGTCTCGTGGAAACGGAAACATTTAAAACTGCAAAAGCATTTTTCTGATCTACCGTAAGCGTAACTCCTCAGAAGGAATGTGTTTCTGATGCCCACAGTGTTGTTTACATTCAGATCAAACTCCACACCACTAGTAAAATGGGGGGAGTTAGAGGTACATCAAGATCTGTCTTAACGGGGAACAAAGGCAGCAAATCTTTGACATTTCCGCTCCTCTTACCTTTCTTTGTCTGTGAATTTGAGTATGGGAACTTTGGCTCTGATGAGCTGGGTCCTGTGTATGTAGGCTATAAACCAAAGAAAGCATCATGAGATTTGAAGTTGCTTTTGTTTAACATAATGACAAGTCAACTATCTTTTAAAACCGTGTAAAGTGCTCCACCTAGTGGACTAAATATAGACCATTAAAACAATCGATTGAAAAAAAAAACACGATTAAAGTAGTAGAAAGATTAAACGTGAAATATCAGTTATACATTTTGAAAATAAGTATAATTACTCACAGAGTGAATGACACATCCTTTGGAGGACAGAGAGTATAGAAATTGCATCCCCTTTATTCTAGAACATGAATGGGGGATGTCCCAAGACAAGTGAGTTGTGTCACTGAATACAATAAACCAAATTTCATATATAGAGAAAACAAAGACAGTGATACTCACTCTTGTCTGAATTACTAGACACAGATCAGCATCACTGGTCCTGCAGCCCAAACCATTCATAGAGGAACCAGTAAGGTACAGATTGGCAGCTGTAAAGAAAAAATGTATACATTTGAACTATAACTGAAAAACCAAGCAGTAAAACACTGTATTTTACACTGTTCAAACCTGCATAGATGCATCGTATATCTTGCAGAAGCCGCACTCGGCAAGACTCTTTCCTGGTCAGATCTGACATTCGTTGCTCACAGGCCTCAAACAGCTCCACCATTTGAAAACCCAGCTGAGGAACAAGAAGACATACAAATGAAAAGTATCTCCAGAGACCCATCTCTGACTTCTAACACTGTATTTGATAATGACCAGATAAAACAGTTGGTTTTTAATAAATAAGTTGCAGTCAATGGCCTAATATAAAATTGGACAAAGCTAAAGTCAAGCAGTACCTTGTCTCTAGCATAGCTGTCCAAGCTGTCTGGAATATGTGGGACAATAAGAACCTCAGGGAGCTCCTCTGAGCTTTGGCTGTGACAGTTGTGGTCAAAACCATTAGAAAATCTCAAGAAACCAGCCTCTTCCTCATCATGACAAGGCCGAAGATGAGGAGTCCGAACATACGGGGAACCTCTTCTTGGTTCAGGAATAGAGTCAATGCGTTGTCGTTTCCCAACATCTGGGCTATAGTCATTTTTATGCCTCCTGGACATCGGTACATTTACCAAAAAAAAAAAAAAAACAGGCAGAATATATTATGCAGCTTAAGGAAACAGTCAGAATTCATGAGTAAACTGTCAAAATTATTTGAGAATGACATACTTGCGTCTGTTGGGGATAGGGTCTGTGTAAGGATGTGCTGCTGTTGAAGGTTCCCATTCATACCGAGGAAACCTTTGTTGAGCAGGACCAGTAAACCTGCTTAAACATATATATGTTACTAATTATACTGACTTAAATTGATACGTTATTTTTAATCAAGGTAAAGATTAACATTCAAGAAAGAAAGAGCTTGTGGTTAATTTATAATTTTCAAATTATTATCTATCAAACTATCATCCTTTTCTTTCTCTCCAAGCTACCAACAATTTGATGTTACTGTTAACGTTATTAAGAGTTTTACTGTACAGTGATAAATATCCTTTTAGTCAGCCATAAATAGACGATATTAATAATAAACAACAATATTTGCTAAACTATATTTACATTCGCTCTACCACAAGATAGAAACTAGACTTAAGTTGCTGAGTTCCAGCCGTTGCAGTTCAGCAAAGCTCACCTCATAGAATGACTGTAATCATAAACTCGTGGGGCAGGATAGGGCGGGTATCTGTCCCGGGAGAACTGTAACCGGTCTCCGGGTGGTGTGCTGCGGGGGAACATCCTGCGGATCAAGAGATTTATCTCTACAGAATGAAAACGACAAGCAGGAAAGTAAAAATTAAGCGCTTAACAAAAAGGTTCTGACACGTCACTGTAAGAGAAACTGATGTTATAGACTAGTAACTGACAGTTTGAGCTCTGCCACTTTACTAGTTACCAATTATTAATGCTCTTGTTGCCCATGAGGCTGTGTCGATATATTGGGGTATAAATAATCACTACAACGGGGGCAGACATAGTAAGCAGGCCTGTCCCCCACACGACTCGAATAGAAAATTGCTGTGTCGAACACATTTGCCTTTAAGTGACTGTAAGTGCTTTAAACATTGACCAGTAATAAACCAGTGAATCCCATTAGGCCTGTTGCTTGTCTGTCACGACAGAATTTTTGCTATTCATTGACAGTAACAGAATCTGGAACTGAAAGAAAACAAAACTTAAGCGGAAAACGGGTTTACATAGCAAAATAGCTAATTCCAGCTGTCTAATTCATACTTCATCAGCCTACTTGAATTTTAATTAAATGATTTTCATCAATCTTTATATTAGAAAGGTGTTGTATAAAATAGTGGACCAAATTGTGTTAGTTAAAGTTTCACCACTTCTTAGGTACTTACCTTAAATCACATCATAAGTAAACAAATTGAGTTAGCGAGAGAGCAACTTCCTGTTATACGCACATTTCCGCCTATATGCAGTGACGTAACAAATCCTTAAAGGCACCATGCTCACGTTAAAGGCCCACTTTTAGATTTTGTTGAGATTATCTATCCATTGTTGGATTAGTGTTAAACGTTTACAAATGTGTTCAAATGGATTCTATGCTGTTAATTGCCACAATAATGCTTTTCGATTACTCTTGTATGGGAAATCGCCATGTTGGTTTCTACCAGAATACTTATAAGGGAAAAATCAGGGGAAAGGCTGCTAAGGTGCTACGGTGCGTTGAGACAAAAGAAAAAAGTTGAGACAACAATGAGAAACCATCCATCCATCCATCCATTTTCATCTGCTACCAGGCTACCAGAAACATTAAATATTCTTCCGATTTAATTATCTTTTCCAACTAAACATAGTCAGTCATTACCAGTAGTTTTGGATACCACAATCTTATTCATTTAAATCAAAATGGATAAGGTTTTCGGTCCATTCAGAAGCTTTAGGATTCATTACATCAATTCTTCTGTTGGCTGTTTAACTGAACAAGTTCTACTTATATACATAGACATTCATTCATCCATTTTCATCCGCTTATCCGTTACCGGGTGGCGGGGGCAGCAGTCTCCACCCAAATCACATTGCACCGTACCAACCCCTCTGAACCTTCCTGTGGGTGGTGAGTCCACTGGAAGGTACCAACCACCCTAACCGGGATTCGAACTTGCCCAGGAGGTGAACCCTGGGGTTCCACACCAATGACAGAGACATTGACTCTGGGCCAAAGCGCCACTATATACATAGACATTTAGATATTTTACTGATTTATCATTTTAGCTTGTATTTGATTTATGTTATATAGATGATAAATCAAGTGAATGCTTTTCTTTTAGAAAAAGATCATTGATAGTTGTTTTGTAAAGTATGTTTCTTTCTGATTTGATTTAGATTTTTTTAAATTTTAGGACATAGTAAAAGGAAAACTTAATCAAATTGTTGTGTTTGCTACCATGCTTAGTCAATAAAGCTAACAGATTATTTCTTTAACAGAAAAAAAGGAAAAACAGAAGCAATGTTGCAGGTAGGATGCTTTGGCGATGCAGCTTTTTATTAAAACGGTAATTACAGGTTGATGCAGAATATGTGCAATTTACTTTTAATTTAAGATGGTCTTGTGATAAAACTCACAAAAGCCATATTTTCCTTGTTTTTTATAATTAAATAATAAAATAAAATAAAATTTAAAAATTAAAAATTGTATAATTCCTATGCCAATTATGAACTCCAAAAACAACTATAGAGTAAAAGGCCACTAATCTCAGTATATAGCCAAAAGTATGTCACAGAGTATGTATTTGGAATACTAAAGGGTGTAACCTGTGCTGCAGATATTTCTTTATAGGGATACCAGGTTAAAAAATATACATTTCACTATATAAGTTTAAGATTATCTTAAAACTTTAGAATAAGTGAGTATAGTATCACTGCCATTAAAAGTTCTTCTAAAAGCAACAAAATATGAACTAGTCCCTGGAGGACCGAGTGACGTCACTGCGGAGGACGGGGGTGACTGTCGTGACGTAGACAGTTCGATACTGTGACACTGATCTGAGTGGGAGGGGAGCGGATGCATTGACCAGATGTGGAGATCACTGGGTTTGGTTTTTGGATAGAGGGCTGTGGAGGTGGTGGGCGCGTGCACGCGCACATTCACACGCATAGGGATCTGTAGATCAATACAAAAGCGCATAGATATGTAGTCATACAATCAACATAATAACCTGTGCTTTTTAGGAAATTGTTGTTATGCATAAGCATAGGGTGATTATTTTTTAGTGTGCTGCACGATTGTGTTTGAAAATCGTTATGTCAGAAATCCAGTTTACAGTGAGGAATGATTGTAAAATAACAGCAGTGGGGGTGGAGAGAAAGTGGGGGAGGGAGAGAGAGATGCACATGCACACAGAGAGCGATAGAGTAGGAGAGAGAGAGAGAGAGAGGTGGACAGTGTGATGCTGTGCGTTATCTTCAGCCTAAATGAATCTTGTCTTCCAACGTCTTCGTCACCCTTCCAGCGAGGATCTGTCATTTTACCCCACAGCAGCAGGTCGAGCCTCAAACCTCCATCAGACTCCGAGCTGGATCTCTCACATATCTGCTGCTGCTGCTCCATCACTTCCGAACGTCCAACGCTAGAGCAGGAGAGAAAGCGAAGGTGGTAGAGGAGGAGGAGGAGGCTGTGATTGCTGTGCCATGTGCGGAGCGACATGTATGTGTGAACTGATGCGATGACAGCGGAGTGGGAATGGAGCAGCAGCGGTCATCACATTCCTGAAGACGCACAGTGAAGGTGATAATAAAGAGAGAGAGAAGACCTTTATAAACACAGCCAAGAGGAAAAGAATCAGCAGCAATCAATCCCCACACATTTGTTTTTTGACTGCCATAAAGGAGAAAAATAAATATCAGTGGTCAGGTGTCATCGTTCATTTCAACCACAACAATGGGGTAAGTGCGATTATTCCACTGTTCTACCAACCAATAGCTGACTTCAGATCTGTTCTCATTCCCTCTCTGTATTCATGTCAGCTGCCTCTAGCCTCCTCACCATATGAACTTCAGCTGCACATGTATGCGTACAAACGCAGCCCAGAATAGAATAGAACACAATAGACCAGAATAGCATTCTTATTAAATTATCATATGATACTAATGTACATATACAATCACAACGTTAACAGATGATCAGCAATTGGCATAAGAACATCATTTTTTTCTTCATCTCCTAAGGGTCAGAAGTGAAGATGTGTGGTCCACATGTGTGCCCTAAGTTGTGATCTGCCCATGGCCTCCATGTGCCAGGCTTGAAAGCAACATCTTCACATGGTACAGACAATGTTGTCAAGGCAGAAAAACTGCACTGAAAGGATAGAAACATGTGATGTCATTAAAAGTCTTACATTAGACAAACTTTTACCCTCAAAATATAAAGATAGTCATTTTCTCTGAAACTTGTAATCATGACAGTGACCTCAATGACTGAGAAGGTAAACCTGCAGTTTATAGCTATACTTTACCTCATTTTGAATGTAGTCACCACGCAAGTGTATAACTCTTGCCAGTATACAATTATTTTGTGCAACAGAAAAACAAGAGAGAGCTAAAGTAGATGCTGTTTGTTCTAGGTCTGTCCATCTTTCTGTTTTGCTCCACACCTACACTGTAGAGAGTTATGTAATTCAGAAAGAGGCCATTTGCACCATCAGCATCTCTTCTCTCGTGTACTCAAACTGAGAGTCGTGCCCTGACCTTTTGTGCTGTTACGGGATCTGCAATGAGGGAAGCGTTCAACTTTACAGACAGCTTAATAAAAATAAAAATAAAATAAATAAATTTGTACTACATTGATCCCATACTTTGTATTTACCCAAATGGTTGGGCAGCCGATATGCTGATAACAGACTGCCCCTAGTAAAGCCCAAGGATGTGATTCCTCTGGGAATCAAACCCAAGAATCTCTGCTCTCTGCTTCCAAGGTAGGTGTGCTAACCACTACACTATGTAACCGACAAGTATTGGAATGACAGATGTCACACGGCCTCAATAACAGGAATCGGAAGCTGTCTCTATAACAGCAAAGTTACCTAACCGTGAGCTCAGTAGCCCATTTCCCCCACCCTGCCTGACGTTCATTAACAGCTGTCTCCTGCAGTTCATTGTGATTAATTGCACAGCAGGAGGTTAACAATATGACAGGGGCATGGCAAGATTTCCAGACATCAGCCAAAACTCTCCGCATTAAAAATTTACAATGCACTGGAGGCTTCCCAAGCGCCCACTCTGTCCTTCTCCAGTGTGGGCAGCACACATTATCCAGAAGGCTCCCACTCAGATGGACTCAGCTCCACTGGTGACTAACTTATCTGTTATGCAACTTAGTCAGTGACTCAGTTATCCCACATTATTATGGTATGTGAGCTGATCCAAATGTATGAGTATGCAGCATTTTATACTGCAGACTCATGTTTAAGTGATTAAGTGATTTTTTTTAATGAAATTCCAGCATACTCTATTGATGAATTATTGGAGCATGTATGTCAGAGCGGGAGTGTCAGTGGCTGCAGATGGGATGAAAATGAACTTATAGCATGCATAAATCTGTTGTCTGGCTGTCTGTATCGTACAGACAGGAGGAGTCATATGTCGGTGCCGGCCTCACGGTTCAATAACCAAGCCAACACAGTGGAGAACATTAGCGTTGAATGGAAACTGGAGAGGGCTCTCTACGCTGTATCTGCTGCACTCTCACTTCCTTGGGCAAATACAATCAATGTGCAGATGGACTCTCTGCTGGGTTTAGTGCTCGCTAATTTCTGTGTGGGTGTGTGAGAAAGAGAAGTGTGAGGTTGTTGGCACATTTCAGGTGAACTACGCTCCTCCCTGCAGATCTGGGCAGCAGGGATGTAATATTAATGACTGCTCTTCCCTTAAATAAAGTCTACTCAATGTCACGCTCTCTCTTCTGTTTAATTTATGAAAGCAGCCTGGAAACAAAGAAAGGTTAATATAAAGTAGGGGGAAATGAGTAAGGTGGAGAGAGGAAGTGAGATCTTTTGAGATGCAGCAATTCATTGTGTTTCTCATCTGTCAGTGTTTGTAAGCAGTGAAAAAGCTTTATGGCTAAAGGTGACACACAATTGGGATAATGTTTTATGTGTGTATGTGCCTTTGTCTGTGTGCGCATGTGTTGTGAAAATGGCACTTCTTTTCTTTTTTTTTTTATGTTATATTATCAGTTGCTGTTTTAAGTATTAGTGGTGCTTTGGCCCAGAGGCAATGTCTCTGTCATTGGTGTGGAACCCCGGGGTTCACCTCCTGGACAAGTTCGAATCCCGGTTAGGGCAGTTGGTACCTTCCAGTGGACTCACCACCCGCAGGAAGGTTTGGGGGGTTGGTACGGTGCAATGTGATTTGGGTGGCGACTGCTGCCCCCGCGACCCGGTAACGGATAAGCGGATGAAAATGGATGGATGGATGGATGGATGTTTTAAGTATTAGTACATAGGAGTGACATGAAGATTTATACTGATACCAAGCTCCTACTGAGCAATCAAGCTGTCCATCACACAGTGTATCTACTAATAATGACCTTACACTTCATATTTTACCATCTATAGCAGCTATTATTTCTTTATAAATGCAACATAATCTACAAAATTGTCACTGTCACTTTAAAACGTAGTACTGGAAATGAGTCAGGTTAATATTTCCTGACTTTACAGATTGTCTGAGAAATACCCTTGTTTTTCAAATGGACATCTATCCATATGCACTTCCTTCCTGAACCAGCAGAGGTTCTAAGGTCCATTTTAGTGGCTGTTTTTAGGGCCATGAATAATTTGTTAAATTGTGGTCTACATTATAAAGTATATATTCTTAAAACAAGTGTTAATAAAATCATATTGGATTACTGATTCTGCCCTAAGGCACAGTGTCATGTTTAAGTTCAAAATCTATTGGAATTGCAGCATCTATGAAATCAAATCTGTAAATTATTTATTGGGTTTTTTTCTTTGTTGCAAAAGTCCAGTCAAAAGAGTTCTTTGGCACAACAGTGTTCTTATTTTTTTTACTTAAATGTATTTTCCTGCTACATTCAAAGGTATCAAACTGAAACATTAGTTAAACATTAACTGTATAATTTACCAATTATGGGATTGACAAATGTTACCTATAGGTTAGCCAAAGAACTGCAAGAATACTAAAAAAAAACTTTTAAGTATTAACCTAAAAAATGAAAAGTGATATAGGTAAAAATCTACCTATTGGCTAGCTAACTACTTGGTTAAAGTAAGCCAGGTATGGTGCACCTCTGCTAGAAGGTGCTAGAGCTCTTTGTGTAAAGTGCAAAACAATGAAAAAAAACAAACAGGAAGTGGCAGAAAAATGTCCAAACTAGCTAGTGTTCATTAGGAGGAATTAATTGATTAATAATACATATATACTTTGCTTTGATTTCCATGAATTGGGTCTGTTTGTGTTTTTGCATATGCATACATGTATTATTCAATATATGTATATACAAGTACCATCTTTAACTATTATATTATATTATATTATATTATATTATATTATATTATATTATATTATATTACAACATTATACTTCATATGAATGTACAGTACTGTTCCCTTTTCCTTTTCTTTCACAGCCATAGTTTGTGTAATCGTTTTGAAGGCCTGCCTCCAGCACTTCCCATCAACTCTTCTCCCACCAGAAGATGGGTGGATTTATCAAAGCTTCATCCTCTTCTACATTCATCACCTCCTCCATGTTCTTCTTCTCATCTCTTCCTCCTCTCTCACTCCAACACTCTCTTTCTCTCTCTATCTCTCTCCCCCTCTCCCTGCTTTCCTTCCGTTTTAACATTCACGTTCCATTGCCTTCCCTTGTGTCACGCAGTACACTCTGCATACTCAACATCTCTCACTCCTTATTTCCTTCTTACACATTCCCTCTTATGCTTTCTTTTTTGTTGTTCCCTCCAACCTTCCTTTCTATTACGTATACTATTGCGCTGCCTTAATATTTCACTTGTAGGAGTAGAAATTGCTATTTTTCTTTTCAGTAAAGTGTGGGTGTCATTTTGGAACACAACTCCTTGGCACTGGCCTCCATATAAAAATCAAAGGATTATAAAGTTGTTGTGGTTTTTTTTTTTTTTTAGTAAACACTGGCCCATACACAATAAAGCAACACAAGGCTAGAAACCTGCCACAGATCCATCGAATTATGCAATGTAAAAACCAAAGCCACTTGCCAAGCGACTATTGCACAGATCAAACCATGGTGTGAGATGGCAGAGAGCTGCGATCACTCACAGTTCTGCCACTTACTCTGCTGTCGATGACTATGAAAATTCACATACCAGTTTTTTTTTTTGTAGAACAACCCTCATCTTTCTAGATTCACTTTTTATACTTCTCACATCCCCTCTCATTCCTTCCATATGTCCTGCAAACTTCCATCTCCCTATTTTTCCCTTCTTTCCCAGTCTTGGCTAATCACACACAGGAGGGGTACAGACGAGGAGTTTTAATATTAATTTATACAGCAAGGCTTTGATGTCCCCCATCTTCCCCTCAGTGCAGTGTAAGCACTTCTCTATCTCCTTCTCTGCCAGTACTGCCAGCCCAGAATATCTCCCTCTACACCCTGTGCTTTCTGTGCATATGTGTGTACTGTAGATACCCAAAGAAAAAAAAAACAACTCTACTAAAAATACCCAAAATTGTATAGATAGATAAAGAGTAGTTGTACAACTCTATTGATGTGTAGAATAAGGTTGAAAACACACACACACACCCTCAATGTCAATTTTGTTGAACACACACATTTTTCCATCATACTTTGCCTTCAACTGCCACAAAAAGGTCAACATGGCATTAACTCATATGATTCTAATCTGTCATAAAATTTTGATCATATTCCAGTTTAAGCCAAACGGACTTAAATCCAGCCACTGTATGTTCCATCACTTTTTGTGTGTGTCTGTGATATGTGTGTGTGTGTGTGTGGAAACCGCAGCTCTGCGGGGTGTGTCTGTGGAAGTTAACGATGGCCTACTGTCTATATTTAGCCTTAAACCCACTGCTTCTGCCCCTGTGCTCCCGTGTGTGACCCTCGCTCAGAGCTGCAGGCATTCCCATATCAGAGCACGGAGACAGATAAAGTGAGAGGAGCCTGCTGTACAAAGACAGTGCGACAGAAAAGACTTCCTGTGGAATAACTGCATACTCCTGTGTGTATTACATTAAAAAAGTGTCTCTGCTAAAGCCTATCATCGATGTGCACAGGACTATGAGAAGTTGCACTAAAACTTTAAAGATTCCTCTCTCTGTGGCATAACTATGGACGATGGCCATTTGGAAATCCGGTTGCCAGGGCGTTCTGACAACAGCAGACTGGATGCTGGTGGTGGCTTTGGTGACACGTTGGTGTTGCGGCACAAAGAGGTTCATCACTTCTTTTTTGTCCCCTTCAGGGAGCAGCCCATCTACAGCACGCGGGCCCATGTCTTCCAGATTGACCCCAACACCAAGAAGAACTGGTTGCCCACCAGCAAGCACGCTGTCACTGTTTCCTATTTCTACGACAGCACACGCAACGTCTACCGTATCATCAGCCTGGATGGCACCAAGGTGAGATGCTGGTTCAGGTTGTCATTGGTCAACAGATTTGACCTTTCCTTCTCTACTGCAGACTTTGTATTGATTTGTTTTTATTTTAAAATGCACAGGAAGGTTTAAATCAAGACGTCACTGCACAGCATGTTGTTGGCTGTCAAACCAAGTTTAAATCTCTTTTTTGCCCAACCACAACATGTAATGTCTTTTATGTGTTCTGCAGTTTCACCAACAAAGGGTGGTAATTCAAACAATTACTGCAGTAGTGATTCGCTGTGGCAACACCTAAAAAAAGGGACAAAGCTGAAAGAAAAAAAGAAAAAGAAGACTGCAGTAGTGTCTGCTTAGTTCATTTGCTTCCTTAGCATCAGCTAGCTTATAGCTAACATTATCTTACTAACAGTAATGCTGTTAACTCAAATAAAACGTAGGTCAGAGGGTATTAAAGTTGAACATAAGGCACGTACCCCTCCTTGACGTGGTGGAGGGGTTTGAGTATCCGAATGAACCTAGGAGCTATGTTGTCGGGGGCTTAATGTCCCTGGTAGGGTCTCCCAAGGCAAACAGGTCCTAGGCGACGGATCAGACAAATATCGGTTCAACCCCCCCCTTGATGAAGAAAGCAATAAAATCAAAGAGGTTCACGTCGCCCGTATTGACGTCACCGGGGCCCCAACCTGGAGCCAGGCCTGGGGTTGGGGCTCGCAGGCGAGCGCCTGGTGGCCAGGTCCTTGCTCACGAGACCCAGCCGGGCTCAGCCCGAACAAGCGACCTGAACCCGCTTTCCAGTGGGCCCATCCCCCGCAGGAAGGCCCACAAGGGGCCGGTGCCTTGTGATTTGGGTGGCGGATGTGGGCGGAGACCCTCACGGCCCAATCCCTGGACAACCACTCTGGCTATGGGGACATGGAATGTCACCTCACTGGGGGAAAAGAGCCTGAGCTCGTGCGGGAGGTTGAGCGAAACCGACTAGATATAGTCCGGCTCACCTCCACGCACAGTCTGGGCTCCGGGACCCAACTCCTTGAGAGAGGCTGGACTCTCTTCTACTCTGGAGTTGCTCGCGGTGAGAGACTGCGTGCTGGCGTAGGCTTACTTATAGCCCCCCAGCTTGCCAGTCGTGTGTTGGAGTTCTCCCCACTGAGCGAGAGGGTCGCTTCCCTGCGCCTTCGGGTCAGGGACAGGTGTCTCACTGTTGTTTTGGCCTACGGGCCGAATAGCAGTGTAGAATACCTGGCTTTCTTGCAGACATTGGGAGGAGTACTGGACAGTGCTGCTCCCGGGGATTCCATCGTCCTGTTGGGGGACTTCAACGCCCACGTGGGCAGTGACAGTGACACCTGGAGGGGCGTGATTGGGAAGAACGGCCTCCCCGATCTAAATCCGAGTGGTGTTTTATTATTGTGTAGTCACAATAACATTCTGTGCTAGTCACAGTTTGTCCATAACAAACACCATGTTCAAACATAAGGGTGTCCATCAGTGAACTTGGCACCAGAACACCCTAGGCCAGAGGTCAATGATCGACTTTGTAGCTGTGTCATCTGACATTCGGCCGTATGTATTGGACACTAGGGTGAAGAGAGGGGCTGAGCTCTCAACTGATCACCACATGGTGGTGAGTTGGCTCCGCTTACGGGGGGCAAAGCTGAATAGACCTGGCAGGCCCAAACGTATCGTGAGGGTCTGTTGGGAACGTCTGGCAGAATCCCGGGGGCCTTCAACTCCCACCTCCGGGAGAGCTTTGAACAGGTCCCGAGGGAGGCTGTAGACATTGAGTCTGAGTGGACTATGTTCTCCACTTCCATTGTTGATGCGGCTGTCTGAAGCTGCGGCCGTAAGGTCTCCAGTGCCTGTCGTGGCGGCATTCCCCGGACCCGGTGGTGGACACCGGAGGTAAGGGAAGTCGTCAAACTTAAGAAGGAGTCCTACCGAGCCTGGTTGGTTCGTGGGACTCCTGAGGCAGCCGGCGGGTACAGGCAGGCCAAGCGGACTGCAGCTCAGGTAGTCGTGGAAGCAAAAACTTGTCTGGGAAAAGTTCGGGGAGGCCATGGAGGAGGACTACCGGTCGGCCTCGAAAGAATTCTGGCAAACTATCCGGCGCCTCGGGAAGGGGAAGCAGTTTCCCACCACTGCTGTTTACAGCGGGGAAGGGGGGGGGGCTGTTGACCTCGACTGAGGATGTCGTCGGGATGTGGAAGGAATATTTCGAGGATCTTCTCAATCCCGCTGACAAGCCCGGGAGTGGATGAGATCCGCCCTGAGTACCTCAAGTCTCTGGATGTTGTGGGGCTCTCTTGGTTGACACGTCTCTGCAGCATCGCGTGGCAGTCTGGGACACTACCTCTGGACTGGGGTGGTGGTGCCTCTTTTCAAAAAGGGGGACCGGAGGGTGTGTTCCAACTATCGGGGGATCACACTCCTCAGCCTCCCGGGAAAAGTCTATTCCAGGGTACTGGAGAGGAGAATCCGGCCGATAGTCGAACCTCGGATTCAAGAGGAACAATGCGATTTTCGTCCTGGTCGTGGAACACTGGACCAGCTCTGTACCCTCCACAGAGTGCTTGAGGGTTCATGGGAGTTTGCCCAACCGGTCCACATGTGACTTGGAAAAGGCTTTTGACCGTGTCCCTTGTGGTATTCTGTGGGGGGTGCTTCGAGAGTATGGGGTTGGGGGCAATCTTCTAAGGGCTGTCCGGTCTCTGTACGATCGGAGTAAGAGCTTGGTTCGCATTGACGGCAGTAAGTCTGACCTGTTCCCGGTGCATGTTGGACTACGGCAGGGCTGCCCTTTGTCACCGGTTCTGTTCATTATTTTTATGGAGAGAATTTCTAGACGCAGCCAGGTGTCGGGTGGGGTCCAGTTCAGGAGCCACCGGATTTTATCTCTGCTTTTTGCGGATGATGTGGTCTTGTTGGCCTCTTCGAGCCAGGACCTGCAGCATGCACTGGGGCGGTTTGCAGTCGAGTGTAAAGCCGCTGGGATGAGAATTAGCACCTCTAAGTCCGAGGCTATGGTTCTCGACCAGAAAAAGGTGATTTGCACCCTCCGGGTTGGGGAGGAAGTCCTGCCTCAGGTGAAGGAGTTTAAGTATCTTGGGGTCTTGTTCACGAGTGACGGTAGGATGGAACGTGAGATTGACAGGCAGATCAGTGCAGCGGCCGCAGTAATACGGTCGCTGTATCGGTCCGTTGTGGTGAAGAAGGAGCTGAGCCGATAGGCAAAGCTCTCGATTTACCGGTCAATCTATGTTCCTACCCTCACCTACGGTCATGAGCTCTGGGTCATGACCGAAAGAACGAGATCCCGGATACAAGCGGCTGAAATGAGCTTTCTCCACAAGGTGGCAGAGCGATAGGGATAGAGATAGGGTGAGGAGCTCTGTCATACGAGAGGAGCTCGAAGTAGAGCCGCTGCTCCTCCACATCGAGAGGAGTCAGCTGAGGTGGCTTGGGCATTTACATCGCATGCCCGCAGGCCTGGGAGCGCCTTTGGGTCCCCCCAGAAGAGCTGGAGGAAGTGTCGAGGGAGAGGGAAGTCTGGGTGTCCCTGCTCAGACTATTGCCCCCGCGACCCGGCCCCAGATAAGCGGTTGATGATGGATGGATGGATGAGGCATCTAACCGCCACCAAGCTTTAGTCCTTTGATCCTAATAATATTAATATTATTTCTTTAAGCTTTTTGACACAAAAAATGCTTTCAAATTTTACATAGAGGTATATTACCGCATTCTCACACCTGATGTATTATTTCAATATAATGGGTGGGTGAGACCACTTCATCTCTGTAATAGTTGGTAGCATAAATAAGTATGTGTCTCTTAGCATGGCCATTATATCCTGTATTTGGGATGAGTTTGAGTACTACAGAATGAAAACTACACACTCTGCCACGATATAGGATGAAGCTGTTACAGATGTTAAACAGACAACTGTATTAATCCTAGGTTAGCATGTCGACGTTGGTCCCGACTTTGTTTAATTCTGGTTGTACCCATTTAGCTGATTTTCTGAGGCCCTTGAGTTATTTCTGGCAGTAACAGACCAGATAGAACTATGGCAACGTTGGCACCATGTTGTGTAGGCAGAGTAAAACATGCAGTCTGTGGTCTAATTTTTTTGAGTGTCAGTGGTGTTTATAATTTCTGCAGTGGAAAGTCTCATGAGGGATCAGTGTTTCAGGCTATCTGTAGTCTGACGACTTGGGTTTCATTGTGTGTGTTCATGTAACTACTGTGATTTTAAGTGCATGTCTTTCTCTACGTGTGTGTCTGTATTTGTCTGACCCTGTCTGCATCTCAGATTCATTTCATGTCTTTTGTTTTTTCTAGTTTAAAAACCCAGCATTTCTGCTGGTGACAGAGCGGCAGGGCTGCCACACATATTCACACGTTAGCCGTTATGGGAACAGCAGGGGTGAAGATGAACGAGAGAAACAGATGACGGTGTGAAAAGGGATGTGTAACTTGGATGGGAAAAATGTGAAGCAAATCACACAGTTACTATTCAGTGGTCACTAAAAGTGAATGTAACCAATTTCTGACCAGCAGAGCAGCAAACAATTGTAGTAGGAATAATAAGTTCAATTCACCGTCAGTGTCAGTGGCTCAGTCAAATGTATTGATGCCAAACACAATGTCAGCTGTGCACAACGCTGCTGATCGATCAGATTTTACTCTGTATTCTATTAGTGTTACTTAACAAAGAAGATTTATTAATATGGATTTTAGTCTTGGATTTTATTTACATAAAATTGTATAAATCAGAGCAGTAATAGCCCTGCTGCTCCCAAATGAAAGTTTAAAGGTACTGTCAGATAAATTAGGAGTGCAACATAAATCATCGTGCAGTGCAACACACAGTGGTATGTTTTTTAAATTACTGAACACTGAAATATACTGGTGGCTATAAAACTCATTCACTCACTCAAATCTGAGAACAGTTACAGATAACAATGTCAGCATGAAAAAATTTCTGTTGGATAGAACAGTAAAAAAATTCTATAATTCTCATTGAATAAATGTGGAAACTACATCCATTTAATAGTTCTGTGTTTTTATTAATGTTATTATTTCCATAAGTCTCTTTTCCACTTCTTCTTCCAGTATTGTCATTGCAGTAGACCAGAGTGTGCTTTTGGGCATGACCTGTCATTCACATTTGCATGTAAACCCACACAGCCTGTTCTATTTTTAATGGTTCTTTAGCATATAATTGTCAGGAATATTTCATGTTTGAAAATCCTTAAATGTTCTTGTTTTAGAGGCAGGAGTCTGACTGTCTCTCTCTCTCTCACACACACACACACACACTTTGTTGAATTTCATTAATTTGACTGTTTCTGTTTGTAAGGCAATAATCAACAGCACCATCAGTCCCAACATGACCTTTACAAAGACTTCACAAAAGTTTGGCCAGTGGGCCGACAGTCGAGCCAACACTGTCTACGGCCTGGGATTCTCCACCGAACATCATCTGGCCAAGGTACAGCTCTAAAACTACCACTGTCATTGGTGTAGTACTGTCTAATGTACAATGAACCAGAATCCATTCGAGTCTCACTGATTTTCCTGATCATTTTATATCTCTAGTTTCCATAACTAGGACATCGTAAATTATCGTTTTTGTAAGGGTAATTTTGTTCTTCTTTTAAGTGAAGTATAAAACTGTGTCTACACAATATGGAAGCAACATTTTTTAAAAGAGAGAATCTTAATATTAATTTATATCTTCATTTAATTTTAAATAATTTAACCCCAGTAGAATAATATAGAGTTACACCTTTCATCTCTACAAAAGACAGTCAGATAGCATAGGCTCCAGCAATTAACTTCAGCAGTAGTTAATTCAATTTCCTCACCATTAAAACCTGTGCAATATTGCATGTAAAACTGTGAGAGCAGAGTTAGGGATGAAACACACACACACACACACACACACAGAAAGACACTACCACTCTACAGGGACATCAAAAGTGTGTGTGTATATATTTGCCCCAAGCCCCACAGCTGAGCTCACCTTACTCAGCTCACAACCAAAATAACCTAAGATCAACTTCAGCCATCGACGGCTTTAGAGTCAATGAGGAAAACACGTTGGTGTTTGTTTCGAGTGTGATGTAGACCTCATAAAACATGTTTATTTTTTTAAATCTTTATTCACACAAAATGTATCACTGGTGTGCTTGTTTTTGTGTGTAAGGTGTGTGTCAATCCGCCATAAAAAGGTTTCTTACTGTGACCTACTTAGATCAGGTTTCTCCTGAAGTATTATGAGTAGGAGCCAACAGTTCAACCATAGGTTATTGTTTGTCACAATATTTATGTGCGTGTGTGTGTGTATAAAAGAGATTACAGTCTGAATAATAATCTGATGGCTGTTCTTGCCTTTGTACAGTTTGCAGAGAAGTTTGCAGAATATAAAGAAGCAGCGCGGCTCGCTAAAGAGAAAAGTCAAGAGAAGATGGAGATGGCAACGTCTCCCTCTCAGGTACATTCACTGCTGTCATTCATTAATATCTGCTTCATTCCTTGTTCTTTTATGTGTTGGCTCATTATTCTAGAAACCCATTTTTTCCATCCCGTAATGGTTTGACCAAAGTAAAGTCGATTTTAATGCTTCTATTGCCAGTGCCCGTGGCTTGAATTTATAACATTTTAATCCCAATTTTTTTGGTTAAATGCAAAGTCAAAGAAAATGTTGAGAAGAAAACTTATGCCAATTTGTGATATGTTTCTGTGCTGACACTAGCCCAAAGCATTCCTAGCTTTAATAGCTGTTTTTTTCCAAGTCTGTTTGTGAAGATCCTTTAAGATTTTATAGTAGAAGAAGTCAGAGACAAAACCTCTCTTTTGCTTTGCATAAAAAATATTGTTGTAGATACAAATTCTATTCTGTGATGCTGCCTGAGATGTTAATGATGTTATTTCAGGCCACATGCTCATTGGTCACTGGGACCAGGCCAAATGTCAGCTCCAAATCAGTACTGGTCAGAAAGACTAGCTCATGTTTCCTTTGACAAACTCAGGTTCAGATGTTGCTGTGAATGTTTGTCACTACACAACGTTATGGACAGTTTTCACACGCAAATCATAACATATTTTATTATATGTATCTATATGACAAAGACAAGAATAAAGGTTTTCAAACCAATGATTTTTAAACATCTACTGCCAGATCAGAACAGAACAGGCTCAAGGCCTCTCTGGCAGATCAAGTGGACATAACTCACTTGCAGAGGGAACGGGAAAGAAAGTGGCACCGGGCTGGAACATGTAAATTAAGCATGTGATCCAAGTAATTCAGTTGGTAGCGATTTGGAGTTCCACACAGTAGGAATTTAGTAGTTGTATGGCACAATACCGTCTGACTCAATACCTCTATGGTCCTTACTTGAGACCTAGTGATTAGCATCTTAAAATAGAATTAAATCCATCATTTTTATTTAGTTCTTGTTTCTGTAAATGTAAGTGCTCAGGATTCTTTGAGATCTACTGGTAGATCCTGATCTACCTTTTAGGCACACCTGACCTAAGGAGTATATTGTTAATAAAGTGTCCTGAATTTGCAATTTTAATCATTAATCATTCTGTTCCTTTGCACATGACCTTCATCCCTAGAAAATCCAAACAAGTTCTTTTTTTTTTTACTTAAAATGCTCAGAAACAAAAAAACTGACCCAGTTATGTCCAAAGATATGCTGTTCTTGTAAATAAAACCAGTAAACTAGCAAAACCCACACAGTATTATTCTAAAAAGCACAAAAAGAGATCATAAATTTGAATTTACATAAAGTACTGGAAATTTTACTGAAATAAAAATATAAATTGTGTACACTTTTCTCTTAGTGTGTATATATATATGTGTGTGTGTGTGTGTGTGTGTGTGTCTGTGTGTGTGTGTGATCACAATCATTTCAAACACATAATTAGCCAGTGTGTTAGATATTTGTTTGTGTGGTGTATCCACTAATAATGGAATATCCTAAAGTGTGTGCATCTGTGTTTGAGAGAGAAAAACAACTTGTTTCAGAGAAGAATCTTTGGGGAGTTCTTTCCTTTAATTTAAAGGCTGCTAACAGGCTCTATGTCCTTGCCTGTTCATTATGGAGGCTTGGGACTAACACCCTGCTGTAACCTGTTCTATTACCCCTACTATTAATGCAGAGAACCACATAGGCTGAAATGCTACAGTCCCTTGTATTCCCTCCAGGAGCATGGTTTTAATGAAGGCACGTTGACAGCTTGGCTCTCACCAGGGGTTAAATGCCACATGTCCAGTGGCCAGTGTCATGATGGAGGAACGGGAGACGTTGAATTGGTCATGCTGCTCCTGTAGGATAAAAGTCTTGACTATTAAACCGTATTTTAACCTGTGTAATAAATTACACACCAGACACATAACATCCATCAAAATTACAGCTGTTGGCACAAGTTGATGTCTTACCAACATGCTTGTCAGGTTTCCTACTAATCTCCTAATTAATCCCCAACAGGAGATACAACATAGGAGCAGAATTTTATTAATAAACCCAGAGCTGGTGTAAGTACTGAATGTTGGTCCCAGCAGTCTTGACCCCACTGAGAAAGTGTCAGGAACAGATATTAAATGATATATTAATGAATGAGGAGTGAAAATGTAGCATCGAGCCGCAGTCTTCCTCTTATCACTCACTTCCTGCCTGTCCATTAGAGACGTACAGGCTGTGACATTGTGTTACTATATTGTGCCCGTACTCCGGTTTTAACAGCTTTGTTTTATGTACATGCAGCAGCTAAACGATTTGTCTCTCCTATAATTTTGGGCTTGTATGGGATATAAAGATAAGCATTAATCTGTAATTTTGCAATTCTCCAGTGTTAGAGTAAGCTGTTTAATGTCCTATAGGCATGTGGAACCACTCGCCTAGATGATATACGCATTCATTTTCACACCAAGAGCTCACCACATCTTGAACACACACACACACACACACACACACACTATTAGACATAATTGAAACGTACATAATGTATAATTACTAAATATAGATGAGATTCTTGTTTTTTTTATTTTCTTAGCATAATCACTGTACATTTTTAATTACATATAGGTTCATTCTAATTTTGTTCCTGTTTGTTTAACATATTCCCTATTGTCAGTGTAAGGAGTACAGGCTGGGAATTATAATGTGATAGAAAATCAGCAGCAGTTGATAATTCTGCTCCAGTATATCTTTCCTCCTTCTCTATGTTTGTCGCCTCTGTTTTTATTCATTCAGTCATTTAAAAATTTAAATTGCAGTTTTTTTTTAACTGTTGGGCATCACATTTGGGTTCACAGAATATGATTGATATAGAAAAGTGAAAACTTAATTTGTAATGATGAATAAAATGTGGTCTAAAGTTTTCCATTTCTGTCAACTCACATCAATTTTTGGTGGTTTAAATTCATTACGAAAAGAAATGTGAAAAATGTACTGAATGTTGGAATATAAACATAACATCATTCACCTCCAGTCCATTGATATATTCATTTAACCATCAAGTGTTTTTTCTAACTGATTTATAATAATCATAAACAATAGACCCATGCTCACAAAAAAAACCCCATAGTCAATTTTGATTAATGCTGACAAAGATGCAGCTTAGGGCCTTGATCTAGTCCACTTGTTGACTTGCAAAAGTTAATCAGTAAATAAAATATAATTATATTTCTCTATAACTGATATAGAAATAAGAAAATTGATTATGTTACAAAAACAAACAAACAAAAAAGACTCCATAAAGTAATATGTCATCCAGTAAACCCAAGTTGTAGGAAAATGGACAGAATTATCTGAAGATTTTTGTGTCATTTGCAGGAGTCTCCAGCAGGGGAGCTATCGTCACCTTTGACACCATTGACTCCACCCATGGAAAACATCAATGGAACAGATGAAATCTGTGACAGCACTCCCAACTCTGATGCCCGTCCAGAGCCCTCGCAGAACGCGCTGGCCTTCTCACACAGGTACATCCCGCGTTACGATGTGGTCACTGTGCTATGAGACTGCGTTTGATACAGCACAAATGTTACAGTGTGACCATGTAATGACAACACACATACAGGAAATGGAACATTTGTTTCATTGCTATTTTGTTGTCCAAGGTGCAAAAGACTTTATTTCTGTTTTTCCCCATCTTTTTCTGTCTTTTGTGTGGGAAACAGTTGAATGCCTGTTTGACGTGGTGTTGGACAGTAGGGGACTTCTATTCACTGTTGCTCTCTTGTATCTTTCCTCCATAGGGAGCAGTTAAAGACTTGTCGTGTCTGCTCCTTCTGATATCAGAGTTCTGACCACTGCAAAATCACACTGACAAAACAACAATGTAATTCTGAACATTCCTTTTGAAAAAAAGAAAGGTTTTATGAAAACAACAGGTATGTTTCTGATTAGGGTTTAGAGTTGGTGTTAAAGACATGGACATAACTGTCATTTTTAGAATGAGCAAATCTGAATCTTTGAAATGGATGACGAACTCATCTTAGTTTTAACTGCAGCTGTCATTACTTCTGCTGCATTATTGCCACTTGTTGGATTCCACTGCAAACACTTGCAGAAAAGAAAGAGGAAAAGAAGAAATACATGTACAATACTTCTAGTGTTAAATGACAGAGGTGATTCCTTCTATATTAGTTCTGTGGTTTATTTTCTTTATGAAAAATGCTCCACCTTTGACCTTTAGTTTGTGTTCAAACTGAGCATGCTCATTTTATATGTAATTTGAATAAACACTTACACTTAATATACACAACAATAGGGATTTTTAATTCTAATCTATAGACTTTTGTGTTGTTTGATGAACCTCTATGCATGAATGACTATTGTTACACATTCCTAATGTCTTTGAGTCTTTTTAGTAGACTGATTTTTTGCAATGGATTATTTTTTTCAATTGTCAATGCTGGTTCATACCCAGCCAGCATCTATATGTGGGATCAGTTTTGGCGCACGGTGGAACCTACTGTGGCTAAAGTGCATCTGGTGCATATGATGCCCAATTTATTTTCTAAGGAAACCAACGTGTTGACCACATGGACATGCTGGCTAGTTATACAGTAGCTTATGTAAGATGAGGAGGTCACAGGGCCATATGGGTAAATATTTTGCAGTTTATAATGAGGGTCTGAACAGGTGTGGTTGTTAGGGGTTATGGTGGTAAAGGTGTCAGAGCTTTTGTAAGACTTATATAACACATACTGTAGGTTTGTGTGAGGCAGAGAAAAAAAGAGTCGGACAGTCGGAAAACAAGCACAGGGTCAAACATTGTCAAGTTTGGTAGCTGAAAGTTACCAAGTCCTACTTATTTACAAGTCGCTTGGACAAACACACATACACACACACACGCACAGACACACACCTGGTCCATGGTTTGTATTGTCGGGACTTTTAACTCCCAACTTTTTCATCATGCTCAGGGACTCTCAGAATTAGTTGAAGACAAATCTGATTGAAACCTACAAATGGTTCTTGAACTTCTCAAGATATGGGCCTTCAATGCTACTACATATTACAAATTAGATAAAAAAAACATACTTTGTGAAAGTTAGATACAAGTTTAACAGAAAAGGTCATAAATATAGGTAAAATCTAAAAAAGATTGCCTAGAGAATTAACTCTAGCTACATCTTAACTCTAGCTAGATATAAAAACCTTAAATATAACTCAAACTCATATACTAAGAGTTAGCCATAAATGGTAAAAATGTAGCTAAAACCTTACAATATCAAGTTAGGGTTAGCTTGACACATAATAAATAAATAAAGATTAATAAATAGATACAAAATGTCTATAATTTCACAGATATAACCATGAAAGATTTGCTCTGTCACACCCCCCCCCCCCCCACCCCCACACACACACACACACTCAGACCCATGTACGCAATTACATGGACATGAACAACCAACTCTAAAACAGTGTTCTACCATTCTTTCCAAGTTGACTGTATGCAATTTTATTTGTAAATAAATCTCTGTACCTGTCCACCTTTCTTCCAGTCTATGGATGCGACTATTGATAATTAAAGATCTTTAATCAATGGCTTAATGCATCTATCTTTCTTCTTTTCATCCATTTAAAGCTTATTTTAGTGACAGAAGTTGTTTCATTTTCATTTGTCTGTTAAAGTCTATGAATCATTGACGAGTGAAATCCCTGCTGCTGCATCATGAACTCTGTGAGGTTTCATAGCTCAGTGCAGTAAGATGGGGATGTAGAGAACACCCACAGCCTGCTGCAGCCTCGCTGCTGATGTGTCTATTAATGCTGCATGCGTGGGAGACAGGGTCGACTGTCAGCATTTGCCACAGCGAGTGTGGACATAACAAGCAAAGCTCAGTCTGAAAGTCATTTTCTGAGAGGCATATGCAGGGTGGGTAAATGAATCCAATGTATGTCCACCGTATTATCCATGTAGCTTCTTTATTCTGGCTTTTCTCTCCTTTTATCCGTGATACATACCATCAGCTTATTATGTTTTGTTTTCCATATCTAACATTTGTATTGAAATTCACAAAAGGAAGGAACCTTGTTATTTTCTCTGCATTTTCTCTTCTAAGAGATTATTCTGATCTGCTTCACTGGAACACACTAGTAAAATGCATATCGAATTCGAAGCAGTGTGTATTGTTATGCTTATTATTTTTATTGTTTTTTCTGGGAATCATGCTAATCTTTCTACTCCGTATGCTAATGCTTCACCCTACATGGTTGTCCAATGAAATGGTGGGAATCAAAATGATCACGACCTGAGATCTCATGATACGAATGTTTGGATACAGGGCCAGAAAATAGGCTTTTCTGAAGTCAATCAGTGCTAGGAGATTTACATTTTAACTTTTTAATTTGCCAAAAAAAAAAAAAAAAACACTAAGTGTGCCAATAAATTTATCAAGCAATTCTTTGAAATCATTTTAGTATTCCCCCTGACATTATGGTATTACTTTTAATGTACTTTTTACTACAAACCTTTATAGTCCATTTCTTCTGGCCACTGTCTTCATGCCTTATTAGCCAGGACTCTGTTGTAGAGTGGTTTCAAATCTCAGTAAGACATTGTTAATATAATTCAGTAATAGTTCAGTAATTCAGTATAGTTCAGTAAGAAAGAGGATGCTCCATCAAGGTAACAGCGTAGATTGATTACATATTATATTCAATTGCATTATTTCACATTGTTAAGTCAGCAGCTTATGTAACATCTATTAAAAATAATATTGATTATTTTTCATGTTATGGTTCTTTGCTGCGGTGTGAAGTTTGAGAATCACACCTGTACACACTGGTGTTTGCCTCCTCTTTGACCTCTATTAGATTCACTGACAAGTGTCTGGAAATAGATGATGAGACACGCAACACTACAGCAGAGCAGCTCCGTACATTGTGTAGGCAGGTGTGTGTGTGGGTGCAGAGGGCAGAGCATGAGAAGAGAGTGGAGGCAGTGAGCTGCCTGCAGGACTGTCAGACGGGTTTTTTCCTCACAGGACGTGGGTGTACATGTTCTTCTGCAGTGGACATATATGGTATGCTGTTCAGTACGTTCTGGAGGATTTAGTGAGAACAGAGTGGGATCGTGTGAACGGTGCTGGTTGAGCGTGCGGGCATGCATTTAAGGACTTGTTTAAGGTGTTTGTAAACGCTGATGGTACCAGTGTCCGGATGCTACCAGCACCTCTTTCTTCGTGCGCTGCCATGGCAACTGCTCTGCCTCTCTGCTTATCGAAAGGCTGCGTGAGGAGAAAGAACCTACCTGACAACACATACGAGTCAGAACACAGCAGAAACTAGAACAACTGCAGAAAAACCTTTCATTTCACAAAAGCATGTGCTTTGTGTTTGGAGCCCTTGTTGAGCCACTGGGGTAAATTATTCTTGACTTTGTGGAATAATAAAACACAAAGCAAAGTGTTGATCGTTTATTCAAGAGTTAGTTGAAGTAGGTACAGGTCATGTCCAGCAACAGTAAACAGTAAAATGAAAGATGAGTTTGTAGGAATTTTCTCTTGCTTTCTATGAAAAAATTATATGTATCTCCTTCTGCATCCCCTTCAGGTGGTGCTATAAAACAGTTTACAAGGCTCTGTCAACAAGTTAAATGTGCTGCCTAAGGTTAAATATAAAGATAAACCTAGTTGGGTTCTAAATGCACCTCACAAGACATCCAGTTGACCCTGAGGATAAAGAACAGAACAGGTCAAGGCTTACTGGGTACAAAAAATAAAACATTACATGTATATATATAGCATCAAATAACTTGATGAATTGTTTCAGCAAAAATGTTTTAAAAAAATAACTCTTTAACTTGTGCTGATCCTGCCGCAACTTTAATAATTTTACTTTTTTTATATTGGGTAAATTTATATTGGGTTTCCATGTACTGAAATCATGGACATATGCAAAAGAAATTAAAAAGAACAGAAAAACATCCTTTCTTCATTTTCATGTTTCACGTTTACAATTGTATGGATTTTTATTACATATACATTTGTGAAAAACTTCATATTAATAAGATAAATTAGGAAATACAAAAGTATTTTCAAAGATCTTTCTTCCCACTTAAAATCACCTTGGATTGTACATAAAAAGCACTTAATAATTCATGTACTGATAGTTCATCACAGTACATGTAAGCTGATGTTCCGCCACACAACAGCAAACTTACCCTCTGTGTCTCACACAATTCCAACCACGGTTGTGCACAGATGCCCTCCTGGAACCTTTCATCTGGCCTTTTGTAATGAAGATGAACATCTGTGTCACATCCTCTTCTCTCTCCTCTTGTTCTCCTCCTGTCGCTCTCACTTGCCTTCTCTGTCCGTCTCCGTCCTCACATCTTGATGCCTCTCCTGCTCTCCCGCTCTCTCAGCTGTTGTGTGGGGTTTATACATTTTTTGTCGGAGCTGCCTGCCTTGGTGACTGCATCATTCCATGTGCGTTCATGTGTGTGTGTGTGTGTTGTGTGCGGTTTAGTATGTGCATGTGTAGGATGAAGTGTCGTTTCCCCTTCTATGCGTCACACACTCACAGAGGGGGTGGCTGTTGTGTAAGAAGTGAAGGTGCCGTGGGAGTCCTGAGTGAATTAGATCTGGGCTTTTTCTCTCTTACACATCCCAGCGTGGGTGTTATGGCACTGCTGCAGAGTGTGAGCATATAGAGTTGAGGAGTTGATGTTTGCAGGTGCTGTGGAACAGCAGCATTAGTGCAGTTCTAACATAGAAACCCCGACACAGACAGACCTACTGACTGACTAAGAAACAGAGTGGAAAATATATGATTAAAAATGAAAACCTGGGTGATCAATATTAAAGAAGACGATTGTCTGTTTTCTACGAATAATGCTGTTGTTAGGAAAAAATTATTACATTAAGTTTCAAATATAGAGTAAGTTGTCCTGCTTGTCCAGGTTTTTTTTTTTTTTTTTTGGATGCTGCCACACTGTTCCAAAAACAATCTTGCACAGCATTTGCACGAATATATTGTGGCTGTAAGGAGGCCAAAAGCATGGTCTAACAGTTCCCAAATTCATTATATTTTTTGTAAAAGTGGGGCTGGCAAAGGATAAAGATGAGGATATTTTGGTCTGTGCTATGCTACTGGATTAGCATTATCTGTAATTCATGATTGATTTAATTAATCAATTTAAAAATTAGTTTCCTCAGCACATCTGATCAGGTTTGTTTTTCTACAATTTAAAGCCGCCCCCTGGTCGTGCTGATTTGTGCCTTCTTGCAGTTTTCAGTCTCTGTGAGGAATTACTGTGAAGTGTGTAGGAGTAGGAGGTTGTTTTCAGAGGTGCTTGACTTAATGTCAGCACTCCACAACATTTAGGTCTGGTAATATTTGCTGGTCCAAGTCAGGCTTTAAGTGAGGCTCAGAGTGGGTGAAGCAAGAAGCATTTTCCCTTTATATACATCCAATATTTCACTTACCCTCCAAATTATCCGCTGTGCAGC